AAATAATAGAGTAAAGTGTCTATGATTGTGAATGTCAGTATATAATGACATGAAATGTAACTTACATTTGAAATATTAGACACTTAATTTATTATATAATTAATCCTTGATTTATTATATAATTGTGATATTTGATTTATTTATTTAGATACAAATATTAATAATATTTTGTGATAATCACATGATAAAAATATTTATTTTAAGCAAACAAATAATAAATGTTAAGTCTCAACATTAAACTGTTGAGAAAATAAAGAAGAAATATTATATTTCAATTATTTTATTTAAAAAAATACATGTATAAAAAATTGATATAACATGATAATTTTTTTTAAATATTTAAATACATAATATAAATATATTTATATTCTTAAATATTTTTAAATCTTATTTTAATTAATGCTTTGACATTACATTTTATTTTAAGAAAATAATTTAAAAACTGAGTAACTAATTTTTAAAAATTTATTCAGTTGTTTAAATTTTAATTTAAAGCGATCCTAATTTTATTTTTTAAATAAAAAAATAATTTCACAAAATAAATAAGAAATAATAATTTTAATTCTGAATAGACTAAAGCAAATTTTATAAAACTGTTTTTAATCTTTAAAATCATATTTTTTAAAATTTAATAGCTACATCACTCACTCATATACTGTGTTGGTCTCTAAGATTATAAAAGCTAAAAAGTGAGTGGATACTTTTGTTTAATCATAAATTGGCATAAAAAGATGAGAGTTTCAGAATAAATGATTGGCCATGTGATATATAACCCAAATTGTTTCTGATTGGTCCAACCTTGCAGGTGGATGAGATGAGATGATGATCCATATACACACTACCCGATGCAACGTACTGGTATTCAATTTCTTAAAAAAAATACTTATAATAATAAAAAAATAAAATAAATTTAACAATAAATAAATAATTAAATAATAGATCAGCATGATTATATATATATATATATATATATTTATTTATTTATTATTATTATTATTGTTTTCGATAAATAATTATCGGTATATAGAAATTGTGTTCATAGATCCAAAGCAAAACATTTTCGTACACGACACTCACGTTGATGCGGTACAAGATGGTCGTATGCAACGAGGAACACAAGACACAGGAAGAAAACCAATATTGAATATTATTATAATTTATGTACCAATAAATGACCAGTCGTTTATTTTTAATGCTGTTTTTATATAAAAAAATATTCCCTCAAAAGTTTGCAAGTTGCAAGTAATTAATTAATTAATAATTAATGAGCAGATTATAAATAGGTTAAAAGATTCCTATTACGTTATTTACTTGCTTGGTATAATATAACACTTTATTGACTATTAAGATTATGGACAAATTTTTAGGTCAATGGTTAATTTTCAAACTTAGATTATTAGAAGATTTTTTTAAATAAAAAAAAACTATGTAAGATCAAAATGAAACTGAAGCTCATTCCAAAACCTGTTAGATTATTACTGTAGCACTTTGGTGCACATAAAAAAAAAAAAAGTCACAAAAAGAAAAAATCTAAGCAAATTTGAAACACTGTGTTCATGATCCCACACCACATGCAAAATTGGACCACTGATTATTATGTTTGTATAAGCTATTTAGCACATGTAAAACATTAAATGTACACTGTATTATTTATTTTTGGGGGATTATTATTAATCTTTTAAAGAGTGTATTTTTAGTTAATTTTTGAATATAAATAAATAATAATTTCCATTTTTCATAGCATCACCATACCGAATTCACTGTTCTACCTGTGATGAATAATTTATCTATAGCATATTACTTGAGTCACTGTAGTGGTTGGCGAAACAGTATTTGCCATTGTTAGAGGATTTTTACTGATGATGACAACCTTAAAATGCAACTTGAATCTCATAAAAACAGCTTGAGTTATGGAAACTGAATTGAACAAATTTGAGGAGGTTTACTATGATTGAAATTCATATAAATTTTATTGTTTTAGGCTGATTGATTATTATGGTTGAGATTTAGGTATTCCAGTGCTTTCAAGGAAGGTATTAGCTGCCAAGATTACCTCTTTTATAATTAAATTGTTAAGTACAATCATTCCGTAATCTAAATTTAGGTATTTAATTTTATTTATTATATAAGGTGATCTTAAATGGGTTGAAAATAAAAAGAGAATTATATGTAAAAGCTATCTGAAAATAAGTGAATAAGAAATAAATAAAAATTAATAAGATAGTATTAAGTATAATAAGATATTTTATTTTATGAATATATATCTATTATTTTAAACAGGATAAAAATCATGAAATATTTATTTTTATTCTAATAAATTATGTTTTTATATTTTGTAAATTATCTAATATTTTAAATAAAATTGAATATTTTAATTAATTATCGTAACTATTAATATTGAAAAGCTACCACTATAATATATTTAAAAATAAAAATCTTTAATATTATTTCTTAGTTTTATATACAATTATTTTAACTACAATAGAATGAAAGTACGTAATAAAGCTTTCTAAATTATAATAATATATTTGTATTGAGTATATTTTAATTTATCTCCACGTACATAAAAAGAATTAATACATCTAAATTAATTTAGATTAAAGCATATAATAATAAATATTATTATTAGTTTAATTTTGGAGATTAATACGAGTTATACTGAAGTATGTATAAGATATATACGTTTAAGCATTAATGTAACTAAAATTTATAAGTGCTGATCAAGTTAACAAGAACATTATTATAATTCTTAAAATAAAAGCTTTAATATGAATATGTAATAATTTACCATACTTCAACTACAACTATTTTTTTTGTTATTATTCTAATACATATTATTCTGAAAAAGTCTTTCTTTTTTTAAAAATACCGTACATCTTTATCTTTTATATATACATTAACATCTATAATTGTAATATACTTGTTTATTTTTTCTTATCGCAGTTTTAATTTTTTAAAAACTTTAAGTTGACTAATATTCTAATTTTCGATAAAACATTATTTTTCCTTAAATGATCCTAAAATTAATTACTTTTTAAGTTTTAACAATGATAACATATATGAGATGTTATCATTATTCTAAAAATATATTATTGTTATTTTTAATATAATAGAAAGTGCCTTCAACTGAAAAATAGGTATAAATATTTAATTATGTATGTATAACTAAACCTTTATTCAGATTATCTTGACTTTAGTCTTAAAACTTTTCTTCATGAATTAATTATTCATTTTCAACCTATTAATAACAATAATATTTATCTTGAGCACATCAAATGTTTTTTTTAATATAACTATTAATTTATTTATGAGTGTTCTTCATTAAAACAAAAGATATTGTAATAAAATATTTGAAAATGGACAAATGAAGTTAGCTATGAAATGAAAATAATTTTATAAACTTTATCCAACAAAAAAAGAATCAAATAATTTTAGATCAGACGGCAACTGAAGAAAGAATACAAAGAATACGTGGAGTTGTTGAAAACAAACATGTTCCGATGTCAAAAAAAATTGTATATATAGGATAAGTGTCTAATTTGTAACATTTGTTTTCACCAAAGGTTCCATGTCATGTGCGGTCTTTAATTTTCAGTTTATTTCAAACCAAAAAAATACGCGCAGAACACGACCTGCGCGTATTTAGAATTTATTATTGATTCTTACATTTTTTTTAATTTGTTTGATTTGTTTTAATTAAAGCCAACTAACACACTTTTTCTCTTTCCTTTTTTTTCCTCCTTTCTCTGTCACAAGTTTCAAAAACTCTGTTCTTGGGTTGTCTGATTCTCTCTGAAGCACACAGCGTGACCGGCGAGCTTAATCTCGCCGGAAAATTGCCCTACGCTGGCCGGAATATCCTACTTTTTCGATTTGAGTTCTGAATTTTGATTCTGTTTCCTTTTTTTTTGCCAGTGTTTGGGTCTTTAGAAACAACCAGAAATTAAAAAAAAATCTTCATTTTTTTTTCTGGGTGAGATTGCAAGGAAAGCAATGCAGAAAGGGGAGATGAGATTTTTGCAGAAAATCGCGAGATCCCCTATTTCTGAATTCTTTATGTTGTAGACCTCTGCTAGATTTATTCAATTTTTTCTCTCCTTTGAAAAGTGTCCTATGAGAAGGTGGTTGGATTCTGTGAGTAACATAGATTTTGGAATTTTTTGTGCTGGAGAGGTGGTGTTTGAATTGAGGTGCGATTCTTTTTCTTGTTCTTGCTTGAAATATTATAATCTGTGTATTTTTTTTGTATGAATAGAATTTTTTGGAATGATTATCTCTTCGTGTTTCTGACTTTGGGGTTATGAGCTGTTTATGTTCATCATCACCTATTCTTCCATTGAAAAATCGAGTTTTTACACTTGATCTGTTCATGTTCAAGGTTTTTTGCTGTAAATTTCCCTTAAAAAGGTGGAAAATTGAAAACTTAAGCTAGATGGGGATTTTATTTTCATTTGATTTGGTTGGTTGCCAAAAGGGAAAGTGGCAGTTGTTATTTATGCCCAGTTTATTGGAAATTTTGGTAATTTCTATGGATTTTTATTTTTTTTCAATTTCCTGCATTTCCTTAGCAGCCAAAATGGTTCGATTGTGTTAGGTCTTTGGTAGGTAAGTTACGAATTTTCTTCTTGCCCCCCTCTAAATTCCCTTTCGGGTGGTATTTAGTTGAAGATGCAACTATGTTTGCATCGATCTCGTTGAATGTTTGGCAAGTTGAATTTAGGTAGCATAGTTTAAATCAGCTGACCTTTTTCTTCTTCTAATAATCAATACTTAAGATAACTTACATGATCTGATTTTTACATAAAGTTTTTGGTTTTTGGTTTTTGGGTGGGAGGTTCAACATTGGTGGTTTTGATCATGTTCAGTGTTGTCTGCACTTTCCCTTGTCAAGCAAATGACCTTAAAATTTATTTTGAATATATAAGGATGAGTAGAGTTCAAGGAAACTAGCAAGTGGGAAAATTTTCAGCAATATTACTCTTTTTCGAGGCTGCAGCAGGATGCCTTTTCAAATCATGGATCAGAGGGGCGTTTCTGCTTCATCACACTTTTTTGAAGACGTTTCCTTTCGTTCTGAGGTATTTATTATCATTTTAGTATCTTGTGAACTTCTAAAATGTGACCCCAACAATTTAATGTTCACCAGATCCGTAATGATCCCACTTTGTCAAAATGTTATTTATCTTCTCTCTGACCTTCAATGCTATTGCCTTTATGAATCGTTGGTTTTCTAAACTTGTTTTTTGGGCAGAGGAATGTTGGATTACGGAAACCAATATCCATTAATGACGATTATCCACAAGGTGAGGGCCGATCAATCCTTTATGTTGTTCAAAACAAAAACAGTTCTATATGTTGTAGTACTGGTTTGGCCTCTGATACCCTCATTAATACCCCAAGATTTCTATCTAACAATTAATTATTATTTAGACATAGACTGAACTATTCAGAATTGATTAGTCACTTTTTATTTTTTATTTTTTTATTTTAGGATTATTTTTCTTTATCTGTATCTTTCTGTATACTTTATAGGATACCTCGGATCTCAATTGTGAAATGTGGTATACATTTCCATTTTAGGGTTTTGAGCCAATGATTCTTTCCCTTTGTTTTTTGGGTGTACATGGAACAAGTAAACTAACAATTGGTTTTATCAAGAGTAATTGTGAAAACTGAAATCCTATAAGTAATGCTATTTATGGTGACTAATTGATGATACTTGGGCATTTTGGTATATTTTAGTCAATTTTGCTCTCACTTTTTGCTTTGTACAATATATAAATGATGGGTTGCCCTGGAATCTGGTATAATGATCATCAGTTATTAATCAATTTAGTAAAGTACTTCGAAGTTTGAATCAGTGATTGATGTCAAGTCAAAAACTAATTTTCCTGTTTGTGGTAATTGGTACCTAATTGTTGTAATTTTTACTGAAACAACGCATTCATAAGTCTGCACTATGTTCTTGCGACTTTATAATTGTTGAATTGCTTTTAGTTGAAAAAATAAAGATGATTTTGTGAAGATAGTTACTGCATTCTGCTGCATAGGATCTCATAAATGTGCTTCTGATATGGATATATTCGTGATTTTGTGGCTTATTGTGCTAGTTTTGAAAGTTGTAGTATCCCCTCCAATTTTGCGTCTGCATATGCATATTTGTGTTTGTCGTAGATGTATGTCAATTACTGTAATTTTTTATCTGCAAAACACGGTAGTAGTTGCTGGATAAGTAAGTTGTGCTATTTTCATTTTATCAGGAAGCAATGGAGTGGTAGCATCACCAGGCAGGAATTTTGACAGTACACCTCCCCTTGATGTAAATGCAAAAGCTGGTTTGTTGATGTCGCAGGCTAGTCTACCTGGGGATAATATAGATTCCAAGGAATCATCGAATTATCGTCCCAAATCATTGTCTGATGCATCTCTGCAGTCTGCACCCACCTCATATGGTTTAATTGGGAACAGGATTGTGACAAATGCTGCCCCCTGTGAAAGTAGTTTATTCTCAAGTTCTATGTCTGAGATATTTAGCCGAAAGTGTAAGTCTTTGTCTCATGCTTACTGCATGCATATATGATGGGTATTGTAGCATAGTTGAGTGATTGATACTAATGTCCTTTCATCTGTCGAATATTTTTTTTCTGTCTCTTATGTTTTTCTGATTGTACTTTAATTAAATGGACATCCTATCTGTCTGCTTATTTGCATACCTTGGTGCAGTACGGTTATTTGGAAATGATGTTCAGTCTGATCAGCTCATTACTGGTGGTTTCCCTGAGGAAGAACCATATAAATCTCTTGAAGAAATGGAGGCTGACACTATAGGGAATCTCCTTCCTGATGAAGATGATCTGTTATCTGGTGTTGTTGATGAGTTAGGATGCAGTTCTCATGCCAGAACAAATGATGATTTTGAAGATTTTGATCTGTTTAGCAGTGGTGGAGGCATGGAGATGGAAGGAGATGAACATTTAAGTTCAGGAAAAAAAATAAATGGTCTTGATGGAGATTATGGTTTCCTTGGAGGTTCTAAAGGAAAACTTCCATTTGGTGAGCAGCCTTCTAGAACACTTTTCGTTAGAAACATTAATAGCAATGTAGAAGACTCTGAGCTAAAGGATCTCTTTGAGGTGCGTTCATATTCTTTTTTGCTAAAAGATGTGATTTTAGATTTCTCTGCAAGCATTTTATACCATAATGGACTATTATGTTTGTTCTGACAGCAATATGGAGATATCCGAACCATTTATACAGCCTGTAAGCATCGTGGGTTTGTCATGATTTCTTATCATGATCTAAGGGCAGCACAAAATGCAATGCAAGCACTTCAAAATAGGCCATTGAGGTCTAGGAAACTTGATATACATTATTCAATTCCTAAGGTATAATATTAATAGCTTATCCTGTATGCATAATTCCATTTCCTTTGCTATCGTTAGGATAAAATTAGTTGTTATTGTTGTTCTTGTCATGTATGCACCGTTATCCTGTATTACAACTATGTGCTTTGCCTTTTCAGTTGCTATGTATTCCTACTTTTTATATTTGGTTATAGATGTATTTTAACTTGAAGACATGTTAGGTCAATGCTTCAGAAAAGGATATTGGCCATGGTACACTGATGCTATCTGGCCTTGATTCATCTGTTTTAAATGACGAGCTTAAAAAGATTTTTGGATTTTATGGAGAAATTAAAGAAGTAAGTTGGTCATTGTTGGGTTCCCCCTGTTTTAGTTGCTTGTATTATTTGAAGATAATGCAAGCGGACTTTAACGTCATGTCCTTAATTTCAGATCTATGAATATCCAGAAATGAATCATTACAAATTTATAGAGTTTTATGATGTTCGAGCTGCGGAATCTGCTCTTCGTGCTTTGAACAAGATTGACATTTCTGGGAAGCAGATCAAGCTTGAACCTGGCCATCCTAGGTTTGAAACATACTGGCTATACCCGCTGTTTTTTTTTTTCCCTTTCTGTAGATTTAATTTCTTCTCTAATTTGTAGTAGCTTGTGACTTTTCCCTTTATTTTGAGTGTGCCCACTAAATGATATCATGCAAATGATTTTATTTTGGATATGCATGTCTATTTGTATTATCTTTGATTGCTGTCTTCTTTGTTGACTTTTATGGTTACTGGAATGTCAAGTTGTTATATTATAGATCACCTGGATGCAGAATTACTTCGGCTTATAAATTATTTTCTTTGATTAACAACCATGGAAACCTTGCTTTTGTAGTTTGATGCACCAATCTCATAAGGGGCAAGATGAGCGAGATTTTGGTCAAAGTATTATGGACAATTTGCCATTAAGACCAAAGGGTAAGATTTTATCTGCCTACACTGTCTTTTCTTAGGAAACAACATTGCTTGGTCTTACTAGACATCATTTACAGCAACAGGGTCTTCTGGTGTAATTGGATCTGGATGCTTGGATAATGGATATAGTCAGAGGTTTCAATCTACAGTGCGGCAACCAATGAATGCATTTGTTGATAATGCATTCATTAATATGAACACTGGTATTCGCAACACTATGAGAGGGGCATCTGCTGGAAAAGTTTCTGGTCTTTGTGAGTCTAGTAGCTATGTTGATGCAATGAACTTTGCATCTAGTTCGAGATTTCATCCTCATTCCTTACCTGAGTATCGTGATAGTTTAGCTAATGGTAGTCCTTATAACTTTTCTAGCACTATTAGCAACTTGGCTAACAATATAGGTGCTGGAGCTACAGAAGCCTCTGATGGCAGGCATATTCAGGGAATTGGATCAACTGGGAACACGGCAGAATTTAATGCTGGAGGTTAGTGCACCATATGTTTATGTGCTAAGAGCTTCACGTATAGTTTTCAGTTTTGTGCAACAGTTTTGAAATGATTAACGTCTAAAGAAAATTGTTACATCACAGGGCTAAATTACTACAGAGGATGAAATTGTTTATTCCATCAGCATCCTAGCATTTTAAAACTTTACAATATTGGGCTTGGTTGTTAAGAATCATGCATTCCCATAGTTTCTTAATAACCGAAAAATCTTGTTTCATTTCTGGAAATACCCCAAAAATATTAGTCAATTACTATAAATCATATGAATTTAGAGTTGCCTTACTATCTATGATTAAAAATTCCAAATTAAATATGGGTCTCCAATCTCGCATTTTGTACCAATTTCAAAGAGATTGGATCTGGCCACTTGTAATTCAACAACTTTGTAACTTGGATTTAGCAGTTTTACGTTTAAATCCTGATTTGACGTCTTTGGTTTATTTTGGGTCATCAGGAAATGGGATACGCCCACATGGACTTTATCAAATGTGGAACAGCTCCAATTTGCAACAGCAACCTTCTTCAAGTAATGTGCTTTGGCAAAAATCGCCATCATTTGTTAATGATGCTTGTTCCCCGAGCCTTCCACAGATGTCAAGCTTTGCTAGAACACCACCTCATTTACTGAGAACACCACATATGATGGACCACCATGTTGGATCAGCACCAGTTGTTACAGCCTCACCCTGGGAAAGGCCAAATTCTTATTTGGGAGGGTCACCCGATGCTTCTGGTTTTCGCTTGGGTTCTCTTGGGAGTGGAGGTTTTCATGGTTCCTGGCAATTGCATCCTCTGGATTTTCCTTCTCACAATGTGTTCTCTCATGTTGGTGGGAATGGCACTGAACTGACATGCAATGCTGGACAGAACTCTCCCAAGCAGTTATCTCATGTTTTCCCTGTGAGACATCCCATGTCTTCAATGTCAAAATTTGATACTACCAATGAACGAATGAGAAACCTTTATCACCGTAGAAATGAAACAAGCACCAACAATGTTGATAAGAAGCAATATGAACTTGACCTAGGGCGCATATTGCGTGGGGAAGACAGCCGAACTACCCTTATGATAAAAAATATTCCCAACAAGTATGTTTGTTGTCACCACAGCCTTTTTAATCTTCTTTTTGCTTACTTAATTTTTGTCTTCGACTGAACATTGTACTGGTAAAACTGTTAGTTTTCCTAAAGCACTAATTTTAATTTTATAGATTATTTTAAGACCTAGCAAATGTGACAGAAAGATATTCTATATTTAATGGTTTTATCCTGGTTGGCAGCTGGGCATTTGGCTCTTGCCTTTTTATTTGAAGTGTTAGTCCTTGCTGGCGAATGCTTCCATGTACACACTTATGCATGTCTAGCCCATTTGACATACTCTTTTATCTCGATCAATCAGATTTTAGAGACAGTAAAGAATTCATATTCTCTTGCATTCGTCTCTTGATTTGACCTGTTTCTGTTTTTTATTTGCTATTTGTTTGTTAGATATACTTCAAAGATGCTTCTTGCTGCAATAGATGAGCAATGTAAGGGAACTTATGACTTTCTGTATTTACCGATTGATTTCAAGGTAAGTTTTTTTGGTTGATTGGGTCTTTCCTTTTGTGAGGAAATAGTAAATATGTTTCTAATTTGATTCTACAATGGTGGCAGAACAAATGTAATGTTGGCTATGCATTCATAAACATGATTGATCCTGGTCAAATTGTCCCTTTCCACCAGGTTATTTGGATGTTTTTATGTAACATTAGTTTGAGCTACATATCTATGTACTATGAATTTTGAGTTCCTTGTGTTGATGGAACTAAATAAGAAATGTTTTGCAGGCTTTTGATGGGAAAAAATGGGAGAAGTTTAATAGTGAAAAGGTGGCCTCACTGGCATATGCCCGAATTCAAGGAAAAGCTTCTCTCATCGCTCATTTCCAGAACTCAAGCCTGATGAACGAAGACAAGCGTTGCCGTCCTATTCTCTTCCATACTGATGGCCCAAATGCCGGTGATCCGGTAAATCAAGCTTGTTCCTTAGTTCTTCCATACTCATCGTTCTCTCCAAAAAGTTTTTATGTCCAAACAGACCTTCAATCATGTTACTAATCGACATGCATTTCCAAGACATGATGCTTGTTGAACAAAAGAAATGGCATGTTTGATTCCAGTTAGAAGGAATAACATATTTCAGTTGCAGTTAGGTGGACTTTTTATATCTAATTTTCTGGTGATAAAATTGATCAATATTTTTGTCACTGCAGGAGCCTTTCCCCATGGGTGCCAATATTAGACCGAGACCAGGAAAATCTCGCACTGCAGGCGGCGGCGAGGAGAATCGAAGCCAAGGGAGTCCTTCAGCTTTGGGAAGTGGAGAAGAGTCTGGTTTAGACTCTTCAAAAAACTAACTGCTTTAGCCTTCCTTGGGCACTAACTGTTCAACATTGCACCATAAGGTCATGTCATGCCAACCCCAAGTCTGTATATTTTGACATTTTCTTTTTATGAGAAAGAGCCAGGAGGAAAAAAGGCTGAATTTTTTTGCCTATAGAGGAGCCTTAAACACAAGTTTCTGAGGCTGAGGTACATAACCAGACTGAAGTAACTGATTGTAGTAACTTTCCTTGTGTTCCCTAAATTTTTGCATGATGGAGTCCTGCTACCTTCTCACAAGTTAGAGAAGAATGGCTTAACTGAAGCTCAAAATTTTTGTTAGCTGTGAAAGGACAATGCCACATTTGCATTAAGCTCCCTTCAGAATTGTGGGGTTCAACTGAAGGGGCTTTAATTGCAGATTTTGTTGTTCATTATTGTTGTTGTTCATATTTATACTTTTTCTTTAAGTTTATAATTCTGGGGCGTTTTGTCCTTATGGATCAGTTTTGTTTATAAAAAAAATTGAATGTTAAGGAACTTTTGAATTTTACCTTATTATTTTGGAATTCGGATATTGTTGTTTTTGTTGCAATTGCAATTTCTAATATTCTTGTGACCACACCCAATTCCTCTCAGCCTTCAACAGTGCTAACTCTGTTCTCACTTATTCTTTGTTTGAAGATAAAGCAGACTTCTCTTTTTCAAAGTCTCGTACAAAAATTGAAAATAAATTTATTTTAAATAATTCTTTCGTCTATATTTCTTATTCTCTGTTCGAAGGCCTGAGATCAACCTCTAAAATGACAGTTTTAATACTTTTGTTTATAATTCAAGATTTCAATTTCCAATTTTTCAAAGATTCTTTTTATCATTGAAAAGGGTTGGACATTCAAATTGGATTGTCAACTGGGCTTTTACAAATAGTAAAAAAGATTGTTTAGAAAAAGTTTTTTTCTCTCTCTTAAATTAGATATCAATTTTTAAAAATTATTAAGTTAAAAAAATTGTTTCATAGTATATATATATATATATATATATTTTAAATAATATACAAAAAAATATTTTGATAAAATAATTATTTAGTTTTTAAAAATTAAAAAAATATTTAAAAAAAACAGTGAACAAACAAGTATGAGAACATCTCTAACAAGGTACTTAACTTGTTTTTTAAAAAAATTATATCTTATAAACAATCGCATTAGAGTGAGAAGATCTAGTCTGTGATTATGAGAATTACTATAATTTTAAAGATAACCCTGTTTAACAAGAAAACGTGGAACAAATCAACAAAAAATCATAACAAATATTTTGCTTAACATTTTCCCTTATCTCAATAATTCACTTCTTTTTAAATCATATTTATTAAAATACAAAAAAATTAAAAATTTGTTATAAGAATATCAACTATAAAAGCATTTATATTTTAAAATATTAATTTTACTAAAAATAATGATATACAATATTTGTTTAAATATGTTTTTTATAAAATTAATTTAATTTTAATTTTGATCTTGTAATTTTTTTAAAAGAAATTAGTTTCATAAAAATGTTAAATCTTTATAAAACTTATAACCTTTTTATAAAATTTCATCGTTTTAAGTTAAAATATTAGATTACATTAATATTTAATTATAATTAATTTTTAAATTATCAAGTGAAAATAAGTAAAAATATAAAAAAATATTTATAAAAAATATTTATTAAAATAAAATAATATAATATAAATTACTTATATAAGTGAGATAATAAATTTTATTTAAAATAGAATATAATCTCTACTAAGATATTTATAAAAATCAACCCGGTCGGAAAGCTATTATATTGTTTAGCTCGTAATTTCTACTTAACCTCGTATAATAGGTTTTAAAATAATAGTTGTGAAAGTTTTATGATCTGTATAATAATTAAAAAAATAGTTATATAGTATGAATGATAAAATAAGAAAGATTTATGTATAAAAAGTTTATACAAGTCAATCTCTTTTATTCAAGGAAAACACAACACTACATATCTATATTTTTATATTATTATATTTTTGAAATAAATATATTTTTTTAAATATTATAATTAAAATTAAATATTTTTTATTCTTTATGTATATTATACGTTGTCTCAATTTTTGAAGTTAATACAAATAACACGTTCTTCCTCAAAATTATTTTTCATATATCCTCTTTATTTTTTATATCATAATATAAACAATTATTTTTACTTAATAAATTATATATAATTTCATATAATATGACATTAAAATTAATTATATAAAAAGATCATAATATAAATATTTTTTTACTTAATAAATGATATATATTTTTATAAAATATGACACTAAAATTAATTATAAAAAATCTTTTTATATAGTGATATAAATGATATAAATAATTATTTTATTTTAAAAAAATATATTTTTATAAACGATGATAACAAAACAATTCTAAAAATAAATTTGACCAAAAAAATATATAATAAATACTATTTTTTTTATTCAAATCCAAATACTATTTTCATTTGTACAATAAATGAGTTAAATTAATCATTTGTGGCGTTAAATAAGATTCTAAAACGTTTTATCGAATGTAGTATATAAAAAAATAAAATAATTTTATTAAAACCGTTTTGTTTGTGTATTTCTTTTTATACTATATAAATAATTATATGTTCTCCATACAAATTAAAATTATTTATCTTATTAACATGACATATAAATGTTTATAGTTTACACTATGATCATTTCTCCAAAAAAAATGTTATTTTTAAGTTAGTGATAGTAAATATTTATTTTTATTTATAGATAAATATAAATAAATAAATAAAATATCTTTAAAAATAATTTTTCTCGTTTATTTTAGATACATATCTTCAAATTTTAATTTATTTAAATTTTAAAATTAAATTACAGATCATTTACTCTAGTTTAACCTTTTGGAAAATAATATTTTTGTGTGAAAATATAACTCAGCTTAACTCTTATAAATTATCAACATTTTTATTTCATTTGATTGTTATCTTATAAAGCTTAATTCTATTATTTCTTGAAAGGAGCTAAATATATAGATTTAACTTTATAATTGATGAACTAAAAAATAAGAAAGATAACTCCTATGTTCTACCAGCTTGTAAAACACATACAAAATTTAAATTGCAACAAACAAATAAAATCTTATTCTTTGTGAACAAACCGTTTGTTAAACCGTAGGTTACTTGCAACCATTTATTTTTTGTTCTTTAAGCATGTACAAAGCAATTGGTAGATATTGAAAACTATCAACTCTCTGCTTCTGTTGTGGATAAGCTAACCAGTGATAATTTTTTTTATGACCAAGATATTACACCATCTCCAATTTGAAAACATAACCAGATGTGTTCTTTCTATCTTATGGATCTTCTACATAATCACTATCAGTATAGACAAGTAATTCTACATTTCCTCTAGCTTTATAAAAAACTTCCTAAATTTTGAGTTCCCTGCAAATATCTCAAAATAAGTTTTGCTAGTAGGAAGTGACTGTCTTTAGGATGCTCCATGAAGCGACTAATCACGCTAATTGAATATGCAATATCATATCTAGTAGCATTCATATACATAAAGCTTCCTCTGAGTCGTTTGAATAAAATACTATCAATTTCTGCCCCTTTATCTGTTTTCAACAACTTAATACCTGAAACAATAAGATTTTTAACTAAATTACAGTCAAGCATATGAATCTGTCCAACATATCTTGATATACTTCTTCTGACCAATAAAAAATCCGTCACAGTTTTGCAAAACTTTAATGCCTAGAAAGTATCTCATCTTGCCTAAGTCAGTCATAACAAACTCATTCATCATCATATTTTTAAACTCTAGAAACATTAATTCATGATTACCTGTATATACCAAATCATCTATATCAATACAAACAATTAAGAGTGCACTTTTCTTTTCCTTTTCACAAATAGAGTGTGTTCATGTGGACATTTTAAAAAATCATTAGTTGCAAGATAAGCTCAACCTGTTGTACCAGACTCTACGAGAGTCTTTTAAGATCATATAGGGTTTTTTTAAGTTTGTATACCTATGTTCACGTTCCTTAGAGACATAGTCTTGTGGTTGTTCTAAGTATATATCTTCATTGATTGTCCCATGTAAGAAGGCTGCCTTGATATCAAGTTGATAAATGTTCCACCTTTTTGTGGCTGTTAGTGCAATAACATTTCTAATGGTTTCCAAACAAGCTATTGGTGCAACAATCTCATTATAATCGATGTCCTCTTCGTGTATATTTTTCTAGTGTACCTTTAAATTTGTCAATCTCCCCTGTCTCCTTCAATTTTGTCTTGTAAATTTATTTGACACCTATAATTTTCCAATTTGGTTGTGGATCAATTAGCTCCCATGTATCATTTCTTTGAATGACTTGAAATTCAACATCTATGACATCTATCCAATGTTGACTCTGTGATGCTTTGTTGTATTTTACTGGACTTGCACCTGCAAACATTGCAAAATTTATAACATCTTCATTAATTAAATCATCATCAGTGATATCATCTTTCATCGTGGTCTTCTTGCCCTCCTTCAATTGGAAGAGCTCTTGCTGGAAAATCAAAGGTTGAGTCCATCTTTGTTGTATTGGTGGTTGTTGTTCCATCATCATTCAAGTTTGTTTGAAATACTCCCTCATTTGCTTGAGGAAATTCTTCACAGGTCTAGCATTAATCATTGTTTCTACTTCACTCTAATCCCAATCAACATCCTCTTGAAATTTGACATCCCTTCTTATATGAATCTTCTTATTAATAGGATTATATAGTTTGTATGCTTTAGACTCCTCACTTATACCTAACAACACACATTTAATATCTTTTTCATCTAGTTTGCTCCTTTTTTGGTCAGATATATGAACAAATCTAATGCAACCAAAAATTCTGAAGTAAGAAACAAATGACTTAAATCAGCTTCATGTTTACTGCAAGAGTTGGACTTCTATTCAAGACATGAACCACCCAATTTATAGCTTCGGGCCAAAAGGACAGTGAAACTTTTCTTTCT